TTTTTGTTTGCTAATTTATAAAAATCAGAGTCTTCTATTCCAACAACAACCACCAACACATTTCGGACATCTGTATGGCTACAGTCGACATCAGGGACTTGTATTCATACAGTATCACGAATTTGAGCTGGTTTACAATTGTGACAGGTGACGTTTCTTAGACAAAGGCAAAACTACTTCTTGCAAAAACACAAATAAAAAACTGATTGAGGTGGGCGAAAGAACACCAGTGCTGGACACAACAACTGTGGAAGCAGGTTGTTTTTGGTGATAAGGCAAAATTTGAAGTCTGCATTGGAGGAAATAGAAAAAGTCATTAGAAAGCAAGAGGCATTCCATTACGACTGTCTACAGTGCACTATAAAATTCCCAGTAAGTGTTATGGTGTGGGGTTTCATGTCAGCCAAGGTATGGAAAATTTGATTTCATCCAGGGATCAGTAAATGTAGCAAAATATCAACAAATCATTCAGGAAACCTTATTACCATCATTAGAAAAATTACAAGATCGCAGATATTTTATTTCCCAGCAGGATGGTGCAAGTTGACATACTGTACTGCTAAAACCATCAAGACTTGGCTGGCCCAACATAATATTAACACATTAAAATGGTTATCAAGCAGTCCTGATTTTTTCCCTATAGAAAATATGTCGGGTAAAATTAAAAAAAGCACTGAGAAATTGTTCTCCAGGAATTGTGGTTGGTTTAAAACAAAAAAAATCAAGCAAATATGGGATGAAATTACTCCACTGATGAGGCTTTATTGTAAGCAAAATGCATTTGGATATTATGATAAATTTTGTGAATTTAAAGTTATTGGTCATTAAAGTTAAAGTTTAGTATTTCTACATTATTTGTTTGTCTGCTAAAATAAATCACTCAAAGTCAGATAAGAGAAAGTAGTTTTACTTGGTTTTAATCTAGAAATTATTTTATTAACTTTTAGAATTTACAACAAAAATTTTATGAATTTTTAACTGATCCCATTGTTTTAAATTAATAAATTACTCCAAATCAATGCCTGGCAGTTGATATGATGAATGATCACATGAATGCTGTTATACAAGCCAAAGGCTAAATATTAATGTCTTGTCCGAGGTATTATTTGTCTGAAATGGCTCCATCCAAGCTTTTTTTTTGTCACTCATACTTTTTTTATGTATTATCAACATGAAAATTTTTAATGTAAAATCCTCAGTTTTAATAAAAGTTTACTAATATAAAATAATTATAAGTGTACAAAACTTTTCTATTCGACATTATTGAAGAATAAGCTAGAGATGGATTAAAATAATTCTGAGGTTTTTATTTTGTTGGGGTTGCAGGTGTTGCTCTGGAAAATTTAAAAATATTGCCATTATTTTGCCAGTTTAAAATTTTTTTGCCACTTCAAATTATTTATTGCCATCAGTTTTACTAACTAATTAATGCATATGCCTGTAGCCTTATCAGTTTTGAATCTGAAAAGCAAAAGTAACATGTTAAACTGTCACTTACAAGGAGAGGCCTGATGTTTGGGTCTGCAATTCAAACGAAACTTGGCAAGCATGTAGCCTTAAACACAAATGTCTCTTTCTCCAAATAATAGGACTCACTTTTCAAGCATTTCCAAAAATTGGGCCTCTGAAAATTTAATGTTTAGCTTATAAGTCTTTGAAGTCTCATACCCAAGAGTGGCAATAGCCAAGTGAATAAGATGCGAAGCACTGGAGTTGGATAATGTAGGTTTGATTCTTTGAAATTTTAGTTTAGTTTTTTTTTATGTGTAACATTATTATTATTCCTTACATTTAAAAAGAGATTAAAAATTGTGACGTCATTTCCTGTTTACAGAAAACAAGCTCTGTATATTTAACTCTTAGGTTATTAAATAAAATTTTCTTTATTTTTTGATATGGTGGTATTTTGACTTTCGAAGTGCAACAAACATGAGTGCACGAGGAAATTAATAACAGTAATGTCTATAATATTAACAATTTAAAAAAAATAAAAATGCTGCAACATGCTACTGTATTTTTATCTCACTTGTCTTTTTCATCCATGTGCAATAACATCTGAAGCTTATTCACTTGTGAGGACATATGTAAAATATGTGAAAATAAATGAAGAAATAAGTTTTATTTAAGTTTCAAAACACCTTTCTCTCTCTATTCTAGCAAATTCTTTAATTAAATCAAATAAATTAATATTTTTGGCTATCATTTTGAAACTTATATACAGAAGTTCTAGCTTACTGTGCATAGAATTGTAATTTTTTTTTAACGACGTAAAAGAGTTAAATCTTTAGAGGTTTGTTTTCGCTAAACAGGAAATGACTTGCAAAATTGCAAACTTTATTTCTGTATAACGTTATAGAAGAAATTTAAATAAATATTTAACTATAAAAATACTAATTCTAATGGTTACAAAAGTTTAGATTGGTACCATATCAAGACTTATTAACAAAATAGGTAAAAAACTGCTGGATATACTTATTGAAAATATTAACCTGTGGGTTTCCTTTTTTGTATTTTGTGTATTGTAATTATTACAATTAAAAGATTTAATATATATAAAAGACAGAAGTCCTTTTAAAAGTCATACATGCAAAGCAAAATTTGGAAAGTTGATTTTGCTTTGCATATTTCACTTCTAATTTGAAGATTGCACTTAGAAACTTTAATAGAATCATATTATAACTTTACATATTGTAGATATGCATAGTAAAATCATAAAAGAAAACATTAAAATGGGAATAAAAAGAACAAAAAAAAAGTTCTCACATGAAATTGATGAGCACAGGTTAGGTCATCTGGTAAATGCAGCTTTGCCTCAAACAGTTACTACTGTTGATCAAATAATTCAAAGCAACCGCCACATTTGCTTGAAAACACTGTCAGAAAAATTGTTAACTGTCCTTTTTGGTCCTTTGAAGAAATTCCTGGCTGGAGAGATGTTCCATTCCAACGAGGAGATTAAATCAGCTGTTTGCATATTATTGTATTGCCAGGAATCAGCATTCTATAATGCAGGCATCTTCAAGCAGGTACATCACTGGGTCAAGGCTTGAACCTGAATGGTTCCTATGTTGAGAAATAGCCAAATTCACATATTTCATTTGTATATTCTGTATTTTCCATATGCATTAAAACTTTGCTTAAAAAAAATAAAAGGCATTACTTGTTGCAACCCCCTCGTATTACAATTAAAAGATTTAATATCTAAAGACAGAAATCCTTTTTGTTAATAATAGATGTGTTGCTGTTTTTGAACTCAAATAGTAGTAATTTAGTTGTGGAAACCAAATTTGTTCCAATGTTTTCTATTATTACTTATTATTGGATTTACCAGAAGAGAGCCTAACCCTTGTTGAGCATTATATCAGAACTTTTTCCATATACATGTTGTAGAAATAATTTTCTGTTACTTAGTTGACAAAAATTGTTTAACACTATTTTTTATAGATCTTTCTCCAGACCCCTATGCTGTATTTTTTGCCTCGTAAGACACACTTTTTTGTAAGTAAAATTTATCCAAAAATTAGGACGCATCATATAAACCAAATTCATTTTGTACTGTGAAGAATATTTTTTCCCCAAAAAATTGATGTGAAAAATGTGATGCATCCTATATAATAGCAGTCACCATCTAGTGGTCTGTAGACCCCTGATGATCTGCAAAAAGATTTTGGTGGTCCATGGAGAAATTTGGACATTGATCAATTCAAGGTTATGCGAAGTATTGTGAAAGAAATGCAAAATGCTTGGTTGCTTTTTCTCACTCATTGGGAATTTTTTTCATTCAAATCTAAAACCAAATACGAAATGACTGTTATCAATAAATAATAATGTCAATAAATCAATAAATAATGTTGAGGGTGATTGTTGGCCTTCATGGAAAAGACCCAGAATCCTTAAACTTATTTCAAAGTAGCAACAAACTTCACATTTAATTTTATAATTTTTTAACAAATAATTTTTTATAATTAAATAAGTAAAAGTGAAACAAAGCCATACTGTTTTAACTCAAATATGCTATTCTAGCTCTCTGCTATTCTAACAAAATGTTAAACACAAAACAATACATTTTATTTATATACTAGCTGCATGCACCTGATGTTGCTTTGGGCTTTTGAGCAAGTGGGAAATTGGTGAAGTTGGATTGGGAGAGGGTCTTAAGTCAATAAATGTACTGTACATTTTAGTTACTGAGTATTTATACTGTAATAATGAAACTGCAAAACACAAAAAATTGCTCTGACTTAAGAGGGCTTTAGGGGTGGGAATCCCACAGTACTTTTTCTAGGGTGTCCAAAAATATTCACAACAGATTTGGTGTGGATATGTTGAACAGTATAAAGCCCTATTTTGACTTATACATGTAGAGATTAGAGAAAGTTACTATTAGAGCTATTTTATTATAAAAACTAACGGGTTCCTTGAGTATCATTTAAATTTGGAGAACATAGAGCTTGTTATTTAAGATTTTAATGCGAAGAAATTAGTAAATAAGTACTGTACAATATTAATTTATTTAGAATGAATTGTAAACAGTACTGAAGATAAACGTATATGTTATCACCGTTTTTCTGATCACTTGGATAATTTATTTGCTAATAATATCATAAGAATTTCTTATTAACTAATTATTCGCGACTTTCGTAATGGTAAGGAATTACATTTTTAAAGATTTTGAAACAGACTTGGCTGAGAAGCACTGACCTAGAGACTTATAAAAACAATATTATTGTAATTACTACGTTTATATATTTCGATGTTCTTCTTGACAAAGCAAATAATTCTATTCTTAGTTTAAACAAAAATATCTTAGATTTTTACATTTGTAAACTAGAAAAGAAAATTCTTTTTTGCTGCTTCCGGAATCGATCTTGCGAGCAAAGCAAATACACTTCCGTCGCAGCAAATGTCGCTTCTTTGGCGCGATTTTTTTCGATTTCAAAAGTTAAAAAGAGAATTAACGCTTATCTGGATATATAAACAAGTACCACTGTTGACTAATGTTGTTTAATTTATACGTCGTTATCTACATCGTCGGTAAGTGTAATAGATAAAGATCGCGAAGGTTATTCTGTATACCGCGCGTCGCGTCGCTAAGCAACGCGAAGCGAAGCGCTAAACGAAGAATGTTAATTCTCTAACTTAAATATAAAAGCACTAGGAGGTTTTTTTGTTAAATAAATTAATATTGTTCTCTAATTAGTACAATATATTTTACGTAATTAGATATTTACTGGAATTACGTAAAGTTTTTATAATGTCGCGCTGTCGCTTAGTCGCGTTCGAGGTGTAGGAAATAATTCTGTTTTGGATCGCTGATTGTTAAAAAGGCGTTTTTATCATTTAAAAGATATGTTATCGTAACGATAATAGGTCTATATACAGTTAAGAAAACAGTTTATATCCATAAATTTATTTAAAAGTCTGTGGTAAAAGTAAGACAAAATATGGAGGCCGAACCTACTTCCGTCGCCGATAATTAGTTTTTTATACAAATTTTCTCATATCCTTGAAGTACTTGAATATACAACAGCCTATTGAATTTCTCGAGAAGATCATTCACTCGTTAAAAATTCGATTTTTAAGTGGGGGACGACGATATTCTACATCGTTCTAACTGATGTTTGCCTGTCTCGCCCTGTTGATAACTCGTCGGTTGTTTCGCTATCAGCTGCAGTAGACATCTCCAGCTTTTTTATTTAAGCTGGAAACGAAAATATAACAGTGTGTTGCTGCCTGCTAGCTATCTTCACCCTCTCCATTTTATCAACATCGGTCAAGGCTAAACTCTGGAAGGGTGAACTTCCTTCCACATTCGGCTCTGACCCGCTTCCTTAGATGTTTGTTTTTTTTTCTTTTCTTTCTTTCTTTTTATCTTTCGATTCGTAAAACGAAAATACTGATATTTTTTCGATTGTTTTTTCAGCAAAGGGAGAGAGTGGCCTCTACTCTTCACAGGCAAGAGACTGTTGACTGTCTAAAAAAATTCAACGCAAGACGTAAACTCAAGGTAAGATCTTACTTAAAAATAAATGAACTCCCACGTAAATTGCTGTTGGTGATCTTTTTCTAAACTATTCTGGTGCAAAAATTAACTAGAAACTTTTTTTATTAATAAATTTTTTTTTAATTTTTAGGGGGCCATATTAACTACAATGTTAGCAACACGCAACTTTTCTAGTAAGTATGCCACAAACAATTCGGTGTAATTAATTAACGCGTTGATTTAAATAATAATTAATTGTTTAATGTAGTATGGTTAAATACTTAGTTTTATCCTTTTTCAGCGTCATTTGCGATATAATTATTTGTTTTATATATAGAAATTTAATCCGTGAATAATAAAACTGATTATACTTTCTATAATGAATTTTCTGATTCTTTAAAAACTTTGTAGGTATATGTTTCATGTGTTAAAAATAGCCTTACATTTAACTTATAATTAGTCAGGGGAACAGATGATTTTTAGACAAGTCAAGATGCTCTTACTGGTGTCTTTACAGGAGTAAACTGTGTATTTTATAAACGATCAAGTTATTTTTTACAGGATGAATAGCCTTTAAAGGTATTGTTATAGATCAAAAGATTGTACTGAACATATGTTGCTGCCAGTTTTTTTAGAAAGTTTCTAAAATTGTCATCAGTTGTATTCAAGTTTTGTAAAGCCATAGTCCAGTAATGATTTTTTAAATGTTATAATGTGCAGATGAATTTTTTTATATTGCTTTATATATTTTTGTATATAGTCATAGTTACCAAACAGCTTTACAGTATCCAATCAAAACTTTCATTAGCTTACTATAAAGCTATTTGGAAACTATCTATTCATTTGATTATATATTTTATTCTCCTTGTGAAATTAAATCTAAGAACTTTATTTAAAATTAAAATAAGAAATTAATCATTATTATATCATCAAATATTATTATTGTAACAAAGTTTTATTACAAAAGTAGATGATGATTTTCCAAATTTCAATGAAAATACAAAAGTAGGGAAAATATTTAATATGATTTCTGATTATTTAGTCTTCAGTAGGATAGAATATAAGAAAAACTTATTGCATTCTTTGAATATTTCTTTTTTCTTTCTTCTTTCTGTTACTTTGAAGTCATTCTTCTTTCATACTTATACAAAGATATTTATTGATTTTATTTTAGAAAGTTTTGAGGTTTAAAAAGCAATCAATAAATAGTTTAAAATATTTAAAAAGTACATTTTCAAATTGTATCTGTACTTTTTTTAAAGATAAATTGTCTGGAAAAATTATACTTGTCCCACAATAATACTTTTCTGGATAATTTGTTACCATGTTTAAATGAAAATATTTGTTTAAGAATGATCCGAAACCTCATTTTCATCAATCAGACAATACATGTCATATTTCTGTGTAAATAAGAACATACTCTGGATTGCCTTTTGCTCTCATAATTCTTATGAGTGAACATAAAATTGCTTGAGAGAACAAATCATACAGGAATGCAACTACAATGGAAACACAGGCTTTTATTGGTTTCTGAGGATATATATTGAGGACTCATCAGTCCTCTTAAATTTTACAGCAACGAAAAACAGAACAGTGCCTAACAGAAAATAGATGCAAGAACAAAGCAATCAGCATGGATTGTCTTGCTATGTTGGTAAATATGAGGATCATTTCTCTGTGCCCAGCCATTGCAAGCTTTGGGGGTCTTCAGAACGAATTAATTAAATTCCCATTAAAACCTATGGTAAATGGATACGTACACAGTCTTGTGTTTTTATTAGTCATGTTTTTCTCCGTTTGAAAGGGTTAAATAATCTGTCTAATGTCAATTGCTTTTCTCTCATCTTCAGGATTTTTTGTAAGTAATTAATAGCATTGCAATTGTATCTCTCTTATGGCCAGTAGGTACAAGGATAGCCTCTTTTGTGGTGATAAATGCAAAGTTTTGCCATTCTGACTGTCAGGCACAAGGATTGACTGTTCTGTGTCTTAACAAGTGCAGGTATCATTTCTTTCTTTCCAGTTCCACCTCAATTCTATCGTGATATGATAAAGTCACACAATATCCTAGTAATTAGATTCTTTTATTGTTCATTTTCTTATATATACATTTAATTCTGGTCAAACAATGAATTAAAAAATAAGAAGCCAATTAATTAAGTAATAGCAATAAAAACAAAAGTTTTTAAACATCATTTTTGTAACTTAAAATTAAGATTATTAAGTCTTATTCTCTCAGATGTTTTAGGGAAAATAAGTGAATATTTAGAAATATATAAAATTTTTATATCTAAAAATATATGTTATTAACTATGAATCATAAAAATTAGAAAATTTATTTTTTGTTATATAATAAATTTTATAGATGATAAACTCTGATTATGATTTCTGTTGAGTCAGACAGTTAATAGAATTTTCACTTTTCTTTTGTTTATATTTATCATTATTTCTATGAATACTTCATTCTATTTTGATAAAAATCATAAATTTAGCTACATATACAGTAGAGCCTCGAAAACTCAGCCTAATGTGGACCGAAGGGTGGCCGAGTTTGTGAAAATGCCGGGTTATCGGGAATGGGGTTAAAAAAGGATAAGTATGCNACAAGTGATGCTGTGAGTGATGCTGTGCAATGGTCAACAAAACTATCATAAAATATACATTTTTAGTCAGTACAACAATACAATGACTTAGTGCTTTAGTTTGTTTTAATTTACTTAATTAAAGTTCTCTTGCTAGAAAAGGTATGTTCTGAAGAACTACTGAAATCTTTGAATCAACCCAACCACTTGTAACAAAATTGTGAGCTTCAGGTGATTTGTACACTTTCATGTTATAAAGTTAAAAATTGAGTTATTAAGACAACATGTTGCTATATTCTATCTTTCACCAATCCTCTAAGAAAATTCAAGTCATCTTCTTACGGATAAACTCCATCACATATTACAATTTTACTTTTGTACCAGTTGGCATCTTGACCAGTAAGATTTGTTAAATAAACTGGTAAAAATGCATGTTTTGCCATCTTCTATACATGATAAATGTTCTGATGCAAGACAAACTATATACACCTCCACAAACAGCACAGTACATATATGGTGCAGGAGGCAGAGTGGAAATGATTTCATCATGTGACATGACAATGATATTCTTGCAAGTTTTCTATAGTAAGTTGAACATAATAAATCTTGTTTCTTCCATTTTTGTATTCATTTTTTAAAATTAAAAATTCAAATAATGAAAAAAATTATTTTACAAAATCATCTACAATTGATTTATTAATGATTATTTATAACAAGATGTACATTACAATCTAATCTTTTAACTAAAAAATATGGCATAGAATGATTGCAGATGTGAATTAATCTGTTTTTAAGTATCATATATCATTGACAATATGATAAATATGTAAAGCTAACATTGATTTTTATTGAAAACTTCCGGCAGACATAACTTGATGAGACTGAATAAGATTATTTATATGACAGTTATTAAATTTTTGCAAGATTCATTGGTATATTGATTCCAGCATTAATTTGAAAGTGCTCATCTTTTAATTTATATTCCTTTGTGTTACATAATTGATTGACATGCATAATTTTTAATTTATAAACTTCTTTCATAAATGTTTTCATTTATGTCATTATAGGTTTGCCTTAGTAATATGCTGGCTTGTTTGTTTTGTTTTTTATCAATGCATGATACTATTTTTGATTTAATATTGTATTTTAATAAGTAAATATTCATGATTAATAAGTAAATCATGTGTACTGTTTTCGAATGCAAATTTCTTAAAGTAAACGTATCAGATTTTTAATAATAATAATAATCATTCATCCTCAGAAATTCATTCAAAAAGAATCATCAAAAATATAGTAATGTAAATTGAATAAATATAAATTAAAGAATTTTTTTTAACCAAGCAAATAGCTGGATTCTAAATATTTTATGATAATAATTTAACAATATACAAATGATTGAAGGAATACTTAGAATTTACAAAATAGAAGTCTAAATTGCCAGATTATTTTAAGGCTATTTTAATTAACTAATTATTGAAACTTGGCCTAAAGTTGTCATTATCTTGTATAAAGATTAATATGTAAATTTTAGAACACTCAAAACTGCCATAAAATTATCATGTTACATGAAGAAAAAACTTATTGTAGATCTATATATATATAAATTCCCACTGCCTGTCTGTCTGTTCTTTCTAATCTTGAGAATGATGTTAGATAGGTAAAATTTAAGATCAGATATGGAAAGCTTAGGAGCAGCAGGCCTCAATTAACTATACACAAACTTTTGCTTTGGGCTGAAAGTCACATTATTTTAATTCAAAAATTTTCTCCCAAACACAGTTAGATTCATGACTGTCATGACTTTATTGTTAACAGGAGAAGTATGATGTACTGTTCATGGGTCAAGACCAGGCATGGCCAAATAATATTGAAAGATTAATCTTTCAATATTAGCTACTCAAGTTAAAATAGCTTGGTGAAAAATTTTAACGCCTATAAAAAAAAAGGTCAACAACTCACTGTGCATTTAGAGTTAACCCTCCATTAGAAATCTCTTAAATACAGCATAGAACATTGATAAAGCATGATAATGTGAGAAATGTATCTGTAATCTCTATCTACAATTAAGTCTCTACGGGGTGACACGGGGAAATACCTCAAAATCTTGCTCGGGTAGCCTCTGGTTTGGCACAAGAAAAAAGTTTTCTTTTCGATTCGGCCTGGGGGCAAAAACTGTTGGCCACCCCTGGTCAAGACACTACTGAACTTAAGTGAGTTGTGATGAAAAATTACAGCCCATCATTTTGACAATATCACAATAAATAATTGCTTGTTTATTTTATATTCCTCTTAGTTGATACAACTTATTATACAATGTTTTTTTAATGGTAACAACTAAATTTAGAAACATTCCACCATTTACATATATATCTTCATATTTTCTATACATGGAATTTAGAAATATAGAATATTCAGTAATCATAAAAATTAATAATTAGATATTAATTTTGAATTAATTAATTTAGAAAAATTTGGAAGAACAGTTTAATTTATAGCAAGACTTGAATACACATATCCTTCATACTTATTATAAATTTTAAATTCTAAAATCTATAATTTATTATAGCAATAATGATATTACCTCTTATAATTGTATACACTTGAAAAATCTT